CACATCAACATGTGTCCCCTCTTCTTCATGTCTCTTCTACATCAACATGTGTCCCCTCTTCTTCATGTTTCTTCCACATCAACATGTGTCCCCTCTTCTCCATGTCTCTTCTACATCAACATGTGTCCCCTCTTCTCCATGTCTCTTCTACATCAACATGTGTCCCCTCTTCTTCATGTCTCTTCCACATCAACATGTGTCCCCTCTTCTTCATGTTTCTTCTACATCAACATGTGTCCCCTCTTCTTCATGTTTCTTCCACATCAACATGTGTCCCCTCTTCTTCATGTCTCTTCTACATCAACATGTGTCCCCTCTTCTTCATGTCTCTTCCACATCAACATGTGTCCCCTCTTCTTCATGTCTCTTCTACATCAACATGTGTCCCCTCTTCTTCATGTCTCTTCTACATCAACATGTGTCCTCTCTTCTTCATGTTTCTTCTACATCAACATGTGTCCTCTCTTCTTCATGTCTCTTCCACATCAACATGTGTCCCCTCTTCTTCATGTCTCTTCTACATCAACATGTGTCCCCTCTTCTTCATGTTTCTTCCACATCAACATGTGTCCCCTCTTCTCCATGTCTCTTCTACATCAACATGTGTCCCCTCTTCTCCATGTCTCTTCTACATCAACATGTGTCCCCTCTTCTTCATGTCTCTTCCACATCAACATGTGTCCCCTCTTCTTCATGTCTCTTCTACATCAACATGTGTCCCCTCTTCTTCATGTCTCTTCCACATCAACATGTGTCCCCTCTTCTCCATGTCTCTTCTTCATCAACATGTGTCCCCTCTTCTTCATGTCTCTTCTACATCAACATGTGTCCCCTCTTCTTCATGTCTCTTCCACATCAACATGTGTCCCCTCTTCTTCATGTCTCTTCTACATCAACATGTGTCCCCTCTTCTTCATGTCTCTTCTACATCAACATGTGTCCCCTCTTCTTCATGTTTCTTCTACATCAACATGTGTCCCCTCTTCTTCATGTTTCTTCCACATCAACATGTGTCTCCTCTTCCTCATGTCTCTTCTACATCAACATGTGTCCCCTCTTCTTCATGTCTCTTCTACATCAACATGTGTCCCCTCTTCTCCATGTCTCTTCTACATCAACATGTGTCCCCTCTTCTTCATGTCTCTTCCACATCAACATGTGTCCCCTCTTCTTCATGTCTCTTCTACATCAACATGTGTCCCCTCTTCTTCATGTCTCTTCCACATCAACATGTGTCCCCTCTTCTTCATGTTTCTTCTACATCAACATGTGTCCCCTCTTCTTCATGTTTCTTCCACATCAACATGTGTCCCCTCTTCTTCATGTCTCTTCTACATCAACATGTGTCCCCTCTTCTTCATGTCTCTTCCACATCAACATGTGTCCCCTCTTCTTCATGTCTCTTCTACATCAACATGTGTCCCCTCTTCTTCATGTCTCTTCCACATCAACATGTCCCCCCTCTTCTTCATGTTTCTTCTACATCAACATGTGTCCCCTCTTCTTCATGTTTCTTCCACATCAACATGTGTCCCCTCTTCTCCATGTCTCTCTACATCAACATGTGTCCCCTCTTCTCCATGTCTCTTCTACATCAACATGTGTCCCCTCTTCTTCATGTCTCTTCCACATCAACATGTGTCCCCTCTTCTTCATGTCTCTTCTACATCAACATGTGTCCCCTCTTCTTCATGTCTCTTCCACATCAACATGTGTACCCTCTTCTTCATGTTTCTTCTACATCAACATGTGTCCCCTCTTCTTCATGTTTCTTCCACATCAACATGTGTCCCCTCTTCTCCATGTCTCTTCTACATCAACATGTGTCCCCTCTTCTTCATGTCTCTTCCACATCAACATGTGTCCCCTCTTCTTCATGTCTCTTCCACATCAACATGTGTCCCCTCTTCTCCATGTCTCTTCTACATCAACATGTGTCCCCTCTTCTTCATGTCTCTTCCACATCAACATGTGTCCCCTCTTCTTCATGTTTCTTCCACATCAACATGTGTCCCCTCTTCTTCATGTCTCTTCTACGTCAACATGTGTCCCCTCTTCTTCATGTTTCTTCTACATCAACATGTGTCCCCTCTTCTTCATGTCTCTTCTACATCAACATGTGTCCCCTCTTCTTCATGTCTCTTCCACATCAACATGTGTCCCCTCTTCTCCATGTCTCTTCTACATCAACATGTGTCCCCTCTTCTTCATGTCTCTTCTACATCAACATGTGTCCCCTCTTCTTCATGTCTCTTCCACATCAACATGTGTCCCCTCTTCTTCATGTCTCTTCCACATCAACATGTGTCCCCTCTTCTTCATGTTTCTTCTACATCAACATGTGTCCCCTCTTCTCCATGTCTCTTCTACATCAACATGTGTCCCCTCTTCTTCATGTCTCTTCCACATCAACATGTGTCCCCTCTTCTTCATGTTTCTTCCACATCAACATGTGTCTCCTCTTCCTCATGTCTCTTCTACATCAACATGTGTCCCCTCT